TGGCTTTTTCTCCATGATTGTCTGTGCATAAGCACATTTTTTTCCAAAGGACTGAATTTCTTTCTTTCTTTCTTTCTTTTTTTTTTTTTTGGTACCAGGGATCAAACTTACGACCTCACGTTTGCCAGGCAGGTGCTTATGCCACTGAGCTAAATCCCTGGCAGGACTGAATTTCTTGAAAACAAGGACTTTTCTTCCTGCTTCCTAAAAGCTCGATGTCTGGGACCTAGAAACTGTTCAATAAAGGGATTTTATTGAATATCAAGAATGATCATTATGTTCCTAATGGAAAAAAGGAGAGAAATTCTCACAGTGGGTATAAGATTGAGAGGCTTACTGCTAGTATCTAAACTGAAAGGTTACATAACAATCCCAATAAACAAGATTAGGGAATTTGGCTTGAGTTTAAACTAGGCTTTCTAAAAGGGCATCTAGAAGCCTGCTCACCTGACCACCCTTTCATCTCCCAGTCACATTGGTTTGGCCTACAGCTTCAATAAAATCTACAGAATTACCTCATTTTCAGTCAGACAGCCACCACTAAAGCCAATTCGTTGCTATATTTGTATAGGGCTTTATGATTTTCAAAGCAAGTAATACAATTCCTATTTTGTAGATCTGGCAACTAATGAACATCAACTGACTTGCCCTGTGAGTGATACATCTGGGACTTCTGATCCCCAACCTAGGACTCTTTTCATTATGCCAGACAGCTTCTCAGGCAATTAGAACAAAAAGATACTGTGCAAAATGAAGCCAATGGGTAAATTAATCCCATCTGAAATTCCAAGGAGACCCTGGGACAAATGTGTATCCGAGTTTCAATGGCATTTGGTAGAACTGGCCCAGTGGCTGTGTAGACACCCTGCCAACTTTGCACAAGATACATGAATCTCAAAATCAATTTCACTCACCTTCATTTATCTTGGAAACGCAAAATTTTACGCTAGAATTTGGCTCAAATGAAGAGATTCACACCAAGCCTGCATCCCTACTTCTCCTAGAAAACATTTGCAAACCTGTCTTACAGACCACGCTGTTCTGCTTGACTGTGAAAGCTGTGTCCCCACACTTGTTCCCAGGGGAAGGTCAGTACTGACTCTGAAGCAAGAGCATCACTGCCACTTTTGACCATCTTCTGTTCTGTGTTCCTTGGAAACCTCCTGCCTCAGTTTGGGCATGACCCAACCCACTCAGAAGGAGAGAGCAATTTTACAGCCCTGTGTGGAATGACTCCAAGCCAGTCGTATCTATTTCCAAATGATCTGACGCAGCAAGCGGATCGTGTTTCTTCGGAGGCTTGGCCGAGAATAGGCAGTCTGGCCACACTGAACCAGAGCGGATAAAATGAGCCTGTCAAGAAAAATCTGAAATGGCCTCTAAGGAAGAAGGACCAATGAAAGGTTCAGATCAGGAGTAGGATGCTTTCTGGCAAGACAAAAGAAAGGTGACCATGTATGAAATTCGAGAGAGCAAACAGTTGCTGATAATAGCTATGGTAACATCTGATGAGAATATAAACTGGTATTTCAGAAGAATGTGTGTATTCAGTCAGGTGTGCATGTGCAAGGAGAAAGAAAAGACTTATTGAGAAATAGAGAAATTATATCTGCAAAGTTAGAGAGATGAAATGTGGCAGAACCCAAGTTTGATTAATATAATGGAGAATGGAAAAGCTGTGACAGTTGTACTGCTAGAAAAATATTCAGAATAATGATACAGAAAGTAAAGGAAAAAATAATCAAAGAGATACCTTTCTCTTCCTCTTCCTCTTTTCAAATCTCTCTACTAACCTTTTATATTAAAATATAATGTTTGCAACCCATTCAACAGTTCTAAAAGTTTACCTACTCTGGAGGTGATAAACTGTGGCTTACAGCCGCTAAGCAATTTACTCAGAAGCAAAGTGACAGGGGGAATATGTACACTGAAGTCTATATTACTGTGAGGGTCACCGTTTTCAGTCACCACTAGTATTAAATAAGCTGAAACCACCTTATTTTTAAAAAGAAGAAGAAGAACAAATAGTGATGATATGGAGAAGCAGACTGGCACATGCCCAGTACTTTCCTGACAGCTGGCACTAAGCCTAAAACAACTCACAAAATCCACCTCTTGTTTTTATTCTTACCTTTAATCAGACTTTTTATTGGAAATTTATGGCTGGTTACCTGTCCACCTTAGTGCCATCCTACAGAGCCCAAGAGATCCTGTGTTCACTTATTCTGGTCTCAGGGAATAGTGATTACAGGGTTCCAGGAATGGGATGTGGGAACAACACAGAAGTTGGGTTTCACTTAAGGTCTTTAGCAAGAAATAAATATCCAGTTGCCAGGATGAAAATAGTATTGGTTCTTCACAGATCATTTGACGGGATAAGCTGAGCCCTAGAAACAACTCCTAACCTAGATGACTCTGCTCAGATGGATAAAAGCACATTTTTGAGCATCAGATGCCACAGGCACATATCTAGTTGGTTATTTCCTGCTTTGGTTGCATAGAGATATTTTCAAAGCTGAAGACACAGGGACAAAGTTGGGCTCCCTGAGGCAAGAGGAGGTGTGTGTCTCTGGCTGCCCACTTGGCAACAGACGTATTCACAATTCTTTTTTACATCCAACTAGCATGGCCATTGGAGTTAGCAGGAAACAGCCAGTCACTTCCCTTTGCTTTGTGCCTTTCATAGTCAACTTAACGGGCCTGGTTCAGGCACTTACTGTGTGCCAGGCATTTTCTCAGAATATAGTAAGACTGCCTGGCCCTTACTGCCTCAGCAGTCCATCATGAAAGACAGAAGGAGAGGCACCTGTGGCAGAAATAGTGACCGAAACACTGTGGGGGGACATCATCATAAAGAAGCCTCAGCCTTGACGATGTGCCCACAAGGCAGCCTGTCCACCATTCCTTCATCCACACATTGATCCCTAAGTGTTTATATTCCGCTTGTTATTCATGGGGAACAGGGGCTTGGACTCAAAGGGAACTAGAACAGGGAGTCCAGGGAAGCGGGGTGGGAGGTGGGAAGTAGCCTGGGCCACATGGGTAAGGGTTTTGCTTGTCAGGCCAAATTTGAACTGTGTTCTGTAGGTACAAGGGTCCTCCTTAGGACCTTCTGCAGATGGAGGCACAGATAATCACCCCACCTGCTTAAAGACTAAAAAAGGCTAAGTAGATCTTGTGAGTTGTTTTAGGCTTGGTGCCAGCTCTCAGGAAAGTACTGGGCATGTGCCAGTCTGCTTCTCCACATCACTGTTTACCACCCTACAACTTTAGAGGTATTTTATGTGTCTGTTTTATTCTTGTTTTCTGTTTGGTTCCCCAGTTGGGATATGAACCCCATGAAGACCGGAAGGCTGTTGGTCACAGTCACCATTGTGTTCCTAGTTTTAAGCACAAAGTCTGGCACAGTGTAGACCTTCAACAAATATTTCCAGAATGAATTGTCTTTCTGCATTTAGACAGTTGTCTCCAGATTGTAGAGAGGAAGGGGACTAAAGAACTAGGAGATCCATAGGAGGGATTCATAGTGACAGAGAGGTGCTAAGATCTGAATGCAGGGCCATGGTGATACAGATGGAAAGAAAGTTTAAAGGGTGACTCCTCAGGGTTAACACTGACAGATGTTGGCGAGACAGGGGGATCGGTCAGCATGATTTTAAGGTTTTCATTTGGATGTCTGAGTGGCTAGCGATATGGCTGACTGAGAGGAAAGATAGGGAAGGAACATGAGGAGGGGCTTGTCATGGGAAGCAAGAGAGCGTAGATAATAAGATCAGTTTTGGACATGTGTGATTTGACGCAACTGTCCAACGTCTAATTGGAGATGTCCAGTAGACAGTTGGAAATAAGTGTGGGCCATTCAGGAAGATGGCTGGGCTGAGGGTACAGATTTTTAGTGCTAAATGAAGCCAGAAGAGGGTAAGGTCACTCAAGGAAAGCAGACAGAGTTGGAAGAGAAAACAGAAGCCTACATCTAAAGAAATGTCATTTGATGGGTGAGTGTTAAAGAGGAACCAGAGAAGGAGACACAGGTGAGATCTAAGAGGGAGGAAGAGGAGAGTAGGTGAAGACTTCTGGCTACCTTTGGCAAGAGGTTAGAGCAAGGGTCAGTAGGCCCAGGAGCGGCATTCTTAGGCAAATAGTACCACCCAGTTCTTACTATGTAATGGGAAGCGCTTGGCAATTCTGGGCCATTGCGAAAAGCAGAACACATATGTGGAGTTTATCAGGACTTCCAGCCTCTAACATTCCCAGAGGGCAGGGCCAGATCTAGTTGAGTGCTGAATGGCCTGCCTATTGAAGGATGTCCTCAATTTATTCTGCTTTTTTTTTTTTTTTAAATCAGTATCAGGAATCAAACTCACAACCATTTGCTTACAAGACAGGCACTTATGCCACTGAGCTAAATCTCTAGCCCCAGATGTCCTCAATTTGAAAACATCACCAACTCCCACATCTCCTCATCTCCTAAGAATGGCTCTCACAGATTAGACAAAGGGCTTAACAAATGGCCATACTTTGGAGTCTGTATTCAGACTCCCACAGGATTACTCCAGGTGGCTTCTGGTTCCAGTTCTCTGAGGGGAGATGTTTCTTTGGGGGGCCAGTTCACATGTTAGTACTGGTCCCGGCCTCTCTTATGGTTAACCTCCGTTCTCAGAATCCCCTGCCACATCCACCATCTGCTACTACAGAGAGTTCACCTTGCCTTCCTTCCTGCCACCTACGTGCTCCCTTTCACTTCCTGTCCTCCACTTCAGGCTGGTGATTGCTGTATTCATTATAATCCTGAAAATTCCATAGAAATGACATGGAAACTCAAAGGGATGCTGTTGCACAACACAGATCACAGTGGAGATGCTTTGGTCCAAAGGAGAAGAGGTGGGGTCCAGGCACCTCACTCGCACAGCAGAACTCTGGGGTGAGTCCATCGTGAATCACTGAGGCAGGAGGCAGAGCGGTGTCCTCCAGTCCCCTCCAACCCCCAGGCCCCAGAGGCATCAGGAGAGCCAGCAGCTCTACCCTCTTTCCTGAGACGTTCTTGTTCTTGTTCTCCCTCTCCAGGAAAGAGCAGGCCAGGCCAGGCCAGGCTGGGGACACCCTAACACAGAACACTCCCCATTCTGGTGTCCCTCTCCTCCAGAGTGAAATCAGACCTTCGGACGTTTTTTTTGAATGGAGTCCTTTAGGCCCCACAGGCTAACCAGGGGCCTCTGAGAAACACTCACAAGACATGGTGCTGCCTACTAAACGAGTGCAGATCAAAACCCCGCTGGAGACCCCGTTTCCCACACACACAGGAGACTCAACGCGGGGGTCCTGTCTTAGGGGCCTCTGCAGTGTCTTCCTGGAGAGTCTTGGGGAGGGGGCAGAGGCAGAAACTTGCTAAGCTGGCACAGCTTCGTCTCCCCTGCTCCCACCTGCCCTGGCTGTTGGGTGCATCTCGTCCAGCTGGGCCCATGCTGCGCCCTAACCGAGCTGCGGGGTCCCCAGCGCCCCGCCCCGGCCCGCCCGGCCCTGCCGGCCGCATTCCTGGGCTCCGGCTCAGGAGTCAGGCCTGTTGGTCTTATTTAGAGCTCGGCTCGCTGCAGAGGCTGCGGGCCGCCGGTAACTTTAGACTCCCTGATTGGGAAGGGTTGCGGGGCGGCAGCAGGCGGGGGAGGAGAGCAATCTGATTCACCGGTTGCAGCCGGTTCCGAGCCGGCTCTGCCTCCCTCCTCAAGGGCCCGCGGCGTCGGGGCGCCCCGGGTGGGGTTCTGCCTCGCAAGTCAGCGCCGAGGACCGAGGACCGGGCGGAAGGACTAGATTACCTCCCGCCCCAGCTCAGGGCCGCGTGCGAGGCCCAGGGCCCAGGTGGGGCTGCTCGAGGCCTCTGGGCCCTCAGGATCCGACTGGCTTTTCCGTTCTTCTCGCCTGACCTCCACCGTGGGGGGCCATGGCTCCCCAGAGCCCTCCCACTCGGCTCCCAGGGCTCTCAGCTAGCCCCGTGGTGCTTGAAGACCTAATTTGCATTTGATTACAGGACACCCCTGTCCCCAAGATTTAAATCCCCAGGAGGGAGCGAGGCTGGTGGGAGCTGAGAGTCTTGAGCTCCAGGCCTCAGATCCTTCAGAAATCACCAGAGATATTTTCAGCTGCCTGTCCACCTCCTCAGAACAGTCCCAGTTCCAAGGCTCTTGACTGAGTCAGACTTGGAACCTTCCCTGCGCTGGAGCCACGGTAGTCATGCGTGGAGCAGGGAAGTCAGATGTCTTTGTGCCCCCAAACCAGAGGAATGAGAAATCACTTGTGCCAAATCGCAGCAAATCACAGGTCCTGGTAAACACAAGACTATTAGCTCATATCTGGTGTTTAGTTCCTGCCCTGGGCACACTTTTATAAGACAGGATCCAAAAGAAGGAGAAAAAGATCTGATAGGTTTTTCTTTTTTCCTTTTGCTTCTAAGCCCTGGAAGGAAGCCACTGTGAAATCCTGGAATCCTGCTACTCTCCCTGCTGAGTGATGTTGAGCTCATGTTTGGTTGCCTCTGGTGACAGGAAACTTGCCACCTACAAAGCAGCCTAGTAAAACTTTGGCTGGTTCTGTCCTTTGTCTAATGACTCTTTATTGCTGCAAGTTTTGCTGCTATCCACCAGCATCTGTTTCTGTGGCGGGCTTGAACCGGGGAGTGGAATTAGGGGAACCCAGATGGACAGTAGTGGTCGTCCTGCTACTAACCAAGAACTAGCAGGACTCCTTTGGGGGTACAAAGTGCAGTAATATTCTCCCCTACCCCAGCAGGCTGTGTCCCTCTTGCCGTATCAGGGTGCTCTGTTCCTGTGCACGGCTTCCTGCTAGCCCAGGACAAGCCAGCCACCAACACTTGCTTTTGTTTACTTGTCCTGCTGGAAATGTGGACATTTTACTGCTTTTCCAAACAAGGGCTTCTTTCCTGGGAAGTTAATGGGACTTAAGTGCCTGTGCCCCTAGGACACTTGTTTATTGCAGTTTTGTGCAGGGGAAGTTTAAATGATTATTCATGGATTCTTTCATGCTAAAGATTTGTTGCAGTGAAATGTCACTGATTTGGACAAATTTAGCTTGTGGTTTGAAGATTCTCAGGCACTATGCAACCCCAGCAAGACTCTTATTCCTCTCCATCCTATAGAGTTGATCAGAATCACTGCCAACAAAATCTTCCGTAGGAGAGGTGTGCCTGGTCTACTTATAAAAATAGATGTTCCTCCTGTGTAAACATCATTTTGCCTGTTGGAATGTAAATGATATTATTGGAATGCTTGGAGACAGTTTGTTCTTTTAGTGGATTAGCAATTTCCCCTTGAAAATATTGTTTCACGGTATTCGCTAAGCACATCCTTCCTTCTTGTGTGGTTTGGGATTCCGTATCAGCCAGCCCAGGTGGATCAAAACTCTGGAAGATTTGCTGTTCCCAACCCATCAATAATCCTAGCAAGATCTGTACTGTGAGGGGATGAGGTTGGGGATAGGTATAGGTTTTCTGGAGAGATTGAGAAATAACAGAAAATTGCCCAGAGAAGGAGTTGTTAGCAACATTTTTTTAAAAAATAGTTGAGAAGACACATTTGTAACCATGAGGAACAGTTAATAGGGAGCAAAGTAGTAAATGAATCCTACAACTGGAAGGTGGAGAGAGCTAAGATAGCATAGTGGTTTGTACAAGAAGAGTTTAAAGTTGTTTCATCTAGGAGTTGATTGATTTTGACCACCCCGATCTTCTCCCAAGTTCTGCCTAGTAAAGCATCTTTCTCTGTGACCTCAACCTTGCCAGTCCCTGTCCGACCTCCCCACAGGACAACTGCCCCTGCCTCTACTTTTGTAAATTAAATATTCACAAATTAAATATTCTCTTCATGCTTTAGACTAACAGTATTAGGACCTGGCTTCTGGGGATCTTTCCAGACTCATGCCTTGTCCCATGGAGGTATGCAGTCTGAAGGGACATTCACCACTTTGTGGAGTACTCAGTGAGTGCCTGGCATGTGTGCAGAGCACTCAGTTGTTATTAGGATTATATCATCTGTCTCTTTGCCTGTGTTCAGGCTGTTCCTCTTCCTCCCATCCTGCCTGGCCACATTCCACGCCCCTCTGTTACAATCCTCTGGTGAAGACAGCGATTGTGTCTTTTCCTAAAACAAAGTTGTGAATTGGCAACCTGAGAGCCAAATTTGAACCATAGATATGTTTTGTTTGGCCTATGTAGTATTTTTTAAAAATCAGGAAATTGTACATCATCATCTAGATTTATGACTTTGCTGGAAAAGCTGGGAGATGTAGTAGCCCCGAATTTCAGTATGACTATGTCTGGGGCTGTCCCAGGTTCCCCACAGCCCCTCTTGCATGGCTAGGGTATAGGGAACCATCTTCTGTACTCAAAATGACCACTTCAATGTCCACCCTCCCAGATGTTGGCATTTGGGGTAGGCCAATCTTTGATTACATAAGACTGTCCCATGTATTATAGAGTGGCTAGCAACCCTATCCACCAAAGAACACCCCCAAATATTTCCAAGCCCTGATAGCCAATGTCATTCTATTTACTACTGAGCTGTCTACCATGATCACATAACCCTTGTCTCACCAGTGCTGGCACACAGTGGGATCTCCATTAACTAGATTAAAAAGACATAACGTGCAGTATCCGTAGCTGAATGGTTCTGCATATTAAAAGTTCCCATGAAAACAGAGGCAGAAAAATGCAATAATCATAGCATTTTTTAAAAAATAAATTATCTGTAGTAAATGTAGTACATTCCCCTAAACACCTGTCCCAAAATGGAAAAAAAAAAAATAGTTACGAGCGCGTTCCTGTTGAGGCATTTCCATCCTGCATACCTCAGTTCCCGCTGTAATGTTAATTGGTTCTGGTTTCCTTTGCTGCGAGCCCTTACTTGTAATGAGAGTTGCTGTGCAGCTGTCCACCAGGCACCACCCCAAGAAAGGCTGTGTGCAAAGGGAGCACAAGAAGAACTGAATCCCAGGCAGCTTTTCCATGGAAAGTGTTGTCATTAATACTGTTGGGGTTTTTTTGTTTCAATTACAAAAATACTATACGCTTACAGTAGAAATTTCAGAAGCTAATAAAGTACCAATAATAAGTTAAAAATCACTCATTATCTCATTGCCTAAAGATAATCATTTTATTTTTTGAATATTCCCTTCCTAATTTTCCCTTATGCACCTATATTTATGTTTGCTCTTTATGGATTTTGTTTTGTTTCTAGCAAAATTGGGATTGTACTGGTTATAAAATCTCCCCAGGCCATCTCATGGCTGTATATAATCGGTTTAACCAGTTCCTCTTGTTGGACTTACATTGCTTCCTAGTTGCTTATAAATAGGACAGTGATCAACTTCGTCATTTATAAATCTTTCTGAGTCGGTCTGATTATTTCTTCAGGGGAAGAAGTCATCCCCTCCACCAGGGAGATGCTGTTGGTTGCAACAACTAAAAAAGACGGGTGAAGTAATTGGTAGATCGAGGTCTGGGTGAGGAATTTCCAGCCAGGAAGACGCTCCTGTTATGTCACTGAAGAGTGGCCGTATGCTGAGAGCCAGGAAGGAGCTATGGGACTGGGGACTTGGGGCAGTGGACAGTGTTTGTAACTTCTACCAAAGGACACAAACAAGGGTTTAACCACAGGATGAGAATCGTTTGGCAGCACCCAGAGTCCAGTCACATACTGGCAGGGATACGCAGCTCTCTTCAGTGAGGCTGGACAGGGGGTTGGGGTGGGGATAGTGAATTATCTCAGGTTTGGGAAATGGCCTGATAGATCCACCCAAAGATCAGGCAGGCTGGAGCGCAGCCATGAAATCTTTCCCCACCCAAATAATAAGATTATAACACATAAGTAAAAAATAGACTTTGTGACCATAAGCAAAAAACTATCTTTGCTTACTAACATGACTTCACAAATCCTGCATGAGCTATACAGAGCCCAGAGTTATGTTTATGGTGTCATAAAAACACGAATGAACACTTTCTACAGCATGTCACGGTTACCAACGTGCCTCACACGATACATAAGCCCAGCCTCCTTTGGTAGATATTTTTAAGTGAATTCCCCCATTTTATAGAAATGGGCGCTCCCAAAGGGGGATTTGTGTAAATCCAGGCATGCAGTCCACAGACAATCAGGTTCCAGAACAGCTCCAAGGGCAGTGTGTGATAATTAATCCACTTTCTTAGGCGACCATCTCTTCTGTCCTTGCAAAATGACTTTCGGTTAGGAAACAAATGTAGCCTCCCCTGTGGCCTTGACCTTTGCAAGATGAATTAACCAAGTGAGCCAACAGGATAAGCCAGTTCTGTGCAGGCTTTAAGAGCAGTGGGTCGCACCCCTGTAATCCCAGCACTTGGGAGGCTGAGGCTAGAGGCCTGCCGTTTCAGGCCAGCCTGAGCTACATTGTGAGTTGGAAGCGAACCTCAACTACATAGAGAGACCTTGCCTCAGGGGGAAAAAAAAAAAAAAAGAGCAAGCGAGACAGGTCTGCCTGCCTTTCCATCAAAAGACCTTTCTCCGTCCAGTGCAGAACCTGCCTATACCTGGAATCTTCTTTCCTAGAAATGAGGGCACCTCATCCTTAACCTATTCCTATTCCACACTGCTATTCCTAATCTCTGGTTCTTCCCAGCTGCAATCCCCTCTGTTGTATTTTCCTTCTTTACATTCACTGCCTTCTAATTCATTAATACGATATCATTTTCTTGTTTCTTCTTTGTGTTCTGCACTGCAGTGCAAGCATGACAGGGCAGGTTTCTTTTGTTTGTTTTGTTCCCTACTGTTCCCCCAAGTCTAGAATATACTCTGAACAAAGTAGGTGCTCAGAAAGTAATTGATAGATGAACAGCGGCAGGAAGCATTAGAGTGAATTAGCACAGTGACTAGTTCATAACAGAGAATCGCACACATTGGCTCCCCTTTTCTCCTCCTCCTTCTTACATTTAAAGTTATCAGCTCAGCACAGTCACCTTTTGAATTGAATATTTTCAGAAGAGGTAGTACTTTAAGTCCATGGAGCAGGGAAAAGCCCCATATTGGCTCTCAGGAAAAGTGGGCAGGTCACAAGCTGAATGGTGCATGGTTTCCCTGTTTATCTTAGGGGGGAAAGGTATGCATGGCTTTGGGGTCATTTCTAGTACTGTCTTTGCTTCTGCCCAGCTGTGAATCAGGAGGGTGCCTTCCTTTCTGTCAGCTGCTGGGTCACCAACTTTTAGGGGAGCATCGTGGGCCAGTCCTGATGTCTGCCCATTGACCTGCCATGGTTTTGTGGAGGGCCTTTCTCTCTGACTGAATTACTCATTGGAGTGCTCTTTCATTCATTCTGACATTTAGTTATCCATATAATACATATGGAATGGCCACCATGGATGCAGGTGGGCATCTCAGCTCAGATGGCTCAGATTCAGGGATCCACAGTCAGGTAAGAGAGACCTTGATGTGACATTTCACCCAAACCAGGGACACCTTAGGGCAAGCCCAGTGCCCACCAGAGTTTCCTCTCCTACCTGTGGGTCCTCTTTCTTCCCGGGACTCTGCTCAGGAACATGTGGCCTCCTAGCGGCTCTCCTTGTCTGGAGCCTCCTCTACATCCCTCTCCCTGCCTATTTCCCACCTGCGGTGTTCCCCAAATCCAGAGCCAGAAGTTGGTCAGAAGAGGACCGCAGGCACAGGCTGAGGAAGAGAGGTGTGCACGTGCCAGAGAGTGGGCGTAGTGAGTGTAGGGGTCAGGAGGAATGAGCCAAGGATGAAAGCCTTCGATGTGAGGGGCCTATGCAATCTGGCTAACCTAAGAAACAGGGGAGGCTGAGAAGAAAAAGAGAGAAAGGAAGACACTGGGGTGTGTGTGTGTCGGGAGGGTAGTTTTAGAGTGGAAAAGCTGAGGAGCAAAGGCTCCAGAGGTTTGGGGAAAGGTTTGCTGGGAATTGCACCGTAAGAGATGCCTACATGGCCTCTCACAAAACTCTTTGTGCAGATCACGTCAGATCTGAGAGCATTTGGGGGCAACTATTTGTAAGCGGGATACATGGAGGCCATCTGCTAGCAAGAGCTGGCCCCATTTATGCAGATAACAAGCACAAGGTCAGTGGTCACTGTCCCAGCTTTGCCATTCATATCCCAGCCAGACTGCTTCTACCCACCTGAGCCCTGTGCACACACTGGCATTCCTGCTGTCTCTTGGGTAAGACTGGTACCTTCCAGCCTCCTCAATTCCTTGTCCATGTCCACAACGTACGCACAAGGTCCCAGGGTCAGCAGCCATCCTTTCTCCTTACTTCTGTGTTCCCAAAGCAGACCTCAAGCTTCCGCCCAGAGCCACCTTCTCGTCCTGCAAAAAGCCTTCGTTGGTTCCTGGAAACATCTTCTGGGCCTCCCATACCACTCCTGAACACTTCTTATAAGCACGGGGTCATTACCTTGATGTACCTGAGTTAGCTTAAAAAAAAAAGAAGAACCAGAATTAAAATCCCTTTAATTTAAAATCCCTTTAGATTTACAATGGCAACCACTCTGTCAATGCTGACTGCATACTTTCCCAGGAAACCCTTCGGGACTGCCCAGAAGAAGGTGCTGGCCGAGGGGAGAACCAACATTTCCTTCCTACTCCCTGTGGCGCTGGTCCCTGGAAAGCAACTTCAGGGGCCTTGAACAATAATGTTGTCACCAGAGGGGTCTGCCCTTCAAAGAAACAGGGCCTGATAGCTCTTGTTATATGCAAAGTGGAAAAGGTACCAAGACTGTTCTGTGCATTTCCTGCCTTTGAATTGAGTGAAGACAGACAGATGATTTATTGGGCATTTCCTAGCCTCCTCTTCACCATAGGAAACCAGTATGAAAAAAAAAGGTGCAAATTTTAAAAAGATGTGTGAGTGTTTTGAGGAGGCTGGGGAGAGAATTCCTCTGTACCATTAAAGTAAAAAAAAGAAAACTCTCTAGCAGCAGGACCTCTGATGTAGAAGCATACTGACCATAAATTTACTGCAGCCTCTGAGAGCTCAAAGCTGCTTGTGGTGGAGGAGGTGGGAGTGGGCAGGGCAGGGAAGGCCGTGCAGGCTGTCCTCTCTCAGCTCCCCATTTCCAGGTGACCTAGCTCAGGCTTGAAAGGGGCAGCGGGTTGTGTGCCTTAACCAGCACAGAGAAACAGAGGGCCGCAGGGGCCTTCTCTACCCTCAAGTGTTGGTTTTAATCAGAAGAGGTCAGCATCCCCCACCCCACCCCAGGCGGCCAGGGGGAAGGCCAAGAAACAGGACTCAGCCACAGCAGCTCTGCTTGGTTCCACTCTGTTCTGAGCTGCCCTAATAAAGAACCACGACACTTACTGGGATCAAAGCAACAGAAATTTATGGCATCAGAGTTCTGGAAGCCAGAGGTCAGCGATCGAGACATCATCAAAGCCACATTGCTCCTGAAAGCTTCTGGGAAGGCCCTTTCTGGCTCTTCCTAGCTTCTGATGTTTGCGGCAATCCTTGGCGTCCCTGGCTTGGAGCTGCACTGTTCCAGTCTCTGCCTCTACCTTCCTTCTCCCTGCGTCTCACATGGTGACCCTGTGTGAAGCTGTCTCTCTGTGTGCGCCTCTCTCTGCTTACCTGTCATCCTAGCCGAAGGACCCACCTTACCCCTGAAGGACTTCATCTTAACTTACATCTTAATTACATAGGCAAAATTCCTTCTCCAAAAATAAAGTCGTGTGCACAAGTACTAGGAATTAAGACTTCCTTTTATCTTTTGGAGGGTACAGTTCAGTCCACACTGAAATCTAATGCTTATCATCTGCAGTTTCAGGTCACCAGACTAGTGACTCTGTGTGCATGTGTGTACATGTGTGTATATGTACATATATTTACTACCTCTAATTTACATTTATATACTAGCATATATACACAACAAATGCCTATGCATACAATGTATATATACAAATACCTATGGTTTGTATTCAGTGTCATAATGAAATACACATATAAATTGGCATCCATGTAAATTAATAAGTTACATTATCTGTCATATATAACACACATGTCATATGTAACAGTAAAATATAAGTCACATATACATTGTAGGACATATATAATCTCAAATATATAACTGTAAAAACTATATGACAGCGACTACTAATCACAGGAACAATTCTGAGTAATGTCTAAAATTACTCAAAGTAAGAAGACTACAGAGCTTTTTTGGTCATTTTTTCATGAAAGAGATGAGGGGAAAGATCTAGTTTTGCTAAGGAAGGATCCAAGCAGTGCAGAGGCCTGTGTGTCTGCCTGGGCATCCCTGGTGCCACAGGGCAGCTGCTCTGTTGGCCACTATATCAGTCTCCACTGCCCTGTTGGGGATGAGAAAATTCAGACCCAGAGTCACGAAGCAGCTGGTCTAGGCCCATGAGCCACAGACACTTCTAGAAGTGGAAGTCGCGCTTCTACGTGCCCAGCTCTGACTCCTTCTCCTCTAGCCACTTCCCTTCTCTCGCTCCTGCTTGCCCCACTTTTCCAGCTAATAATCAAATTTTTCATTTGAGTTACTTCTGCTGAGTGTGCCCAGAAGTTATAGGTAGTCACACAAAGAACACTATTTTCCCTTCAAATGAGCTGGGAAATGACTTTTCACGGAGGTCTTGCCCCATGCCAAGGTTACAGTACTTTGGGTTCAGTTGCTTTGGAATTATTGGTAAGGCGGAAAACAACAACTTCCTTTTTTGAGTTTTATGAAAGTTTTTGTCAAAAATGTACTGACTGATCTAAAGCTTAGCATCAAGCCTGCCTGGAATGTCTTTCACTGATGAAAGCCTGGGGTCTCGAGGGTCTCTTAAGTGCTGCCCAAACCTCTTGGTGAGTGACCCTTGGAAGCACTGGAACAGCTCTCCCCCAACTTCTGCCTTGGTCGCCCACCTTTTTAGCTCCCTACCTGCTCTTTCCACCTTGGAAAGCTGTTTGACTTCCCTCTGAAAGCCCCAGAGCCTGATCGCTCTCCATCCTGCTCGCTGGCATCTCCAGCAGGGAACACAAAGGATGCTGCTTCCCAGCAGGAAATGGCCAGATTCCAGGATGCTTCAAATGGGGCTCTGGAGGCCTGCTGCTTGGAAACTTTGCTAAAGGATGTTTTTGCCAGGGCCTTTGCCCACCCTGGAGTTCCAAACAGACTGGCAGAAACACTGCCCAACCTCCAACAGCTTCCTCTGCCACTCTCCACCATTTTTCAAACCAACTTCCCTACGCAAAATGCCCTTGGTACAGTGTCATCATTCTCACAGCCTCTACTGCTTTAAAAAGTACAGATTTTTCAGCAACCCTCGTATCCCAAGGAGCACCCCCAGGATTCTGAAGTGGGTAGTGTGTTAGTAGAGAGGCCACCCTGGGAAAACTATGGTTTAACTGTTAGGCAGGTATGCTGCTTACATGAAGCCTCAGCTTTGCAAAGCCTGCCAGGGCACCTTCGGGAGATAGCTAGAGGAAACAAAGACTAGATGTGAGGGTACAGGCTGAGGTAGAAGCACAGCCCTGGTTGGCCAGGCCTTGGACCTGGGCAGGATCAAGAGAGAGGCAGGCTTATGTGATTCCTAAGAGCCAGCAGCACAGGTTCCATGAGGAAATGCTGCCAGGGTGGTCATTCAAATCGGCTGCCATGCGAGAGCCAGCAGTGCCTTCCCTTGGGCTAGGACAGGCCATACAGCCAGAGAAAGGGGATCCAGCTTCCCTGCAGTGCTTCTTAGGAGGGGCCCCTGCTTTCTCTCAGAGGTGGCACTTGGTGACTATAAATACTGTGCTGGCTTTTGAATCACACTGCTGGGTTTTGGTCTGCATTTGTCCTGTTTCTCTAGGTAAATATGAGCAAGCTGTATATTCACTCTGTGCCTCAGTTTCCTCAACTGGAAAAGAAAGACAACTGTGCCTACTTTGGAGCATACTTGAGAGGACTGCATGAGGTAATATGTACAAGGCGCTCCACACAGCCCTCATGGCAGCCAGGGCTCCACACCCCACGGCCGCTGGTCTCGTGCGTGAAGCTGCTTCCTTCTGCCCCACAGCGCCTCTGTTCCGCCATCCACATAGTGCAACTTGGTGTGTGATTTGGATAGTCCGCAAATGTCCTTGTCTCTGGCTCCCAGAAAAAATTCTGTTTTTCTCTTTTTCTTTCTCTAAGAGCCTGCATGTGCCAGTTCAGAGTAGGCAGCCCAACAGCATCGGCCTTCTTCTCCAAAGGTCCCTGCCTCGTGGGACATTTATACCCAACAGTGACAGGGGAAAAACTGCTCAGCAGTTGGGGGCCAGCTCTTTGCAGCTGAAAAATTCAGTTTTGAACTGCAAACTTCTGCCTGAGGAAGGTCGTGTGATCTACAAGGTGACGCAGGGAGTTGAAGGTGGGAATCAAAGGCTCCTGAGCAGATGGAGGAAGGAAGCACACATACGCAGAGGCTGACAGCACCCAATTAATCCTGCCATGGCCAGGCTGCTGTTGGGCATTTGCTCTGGTCTCAGCCGCTCAGGATTCTGTCTTCAGTTTCCCCCTGCAGGGCGGAGCCGGCACCCACAGGCGTGCTGTGGCACATGGTAAACTAACTCCTTTTGTGTAGAGTGCGATACTAGGGACAGTGAGGCACAGATATTATTATTGGTTCTCTGTGCTGATGATCTGCTGTGAAGTTCTGAGGAAGTAAAAGTTGCTGCTGCTCTGTGATGAAAAGACTGACTTGTTAGAGTAACCCCCACAGTAGTCCTCCATCCCCTGGGTCCTCAACACTTCAGAAGGGAACAATGGCTGCCAGTGAACCAGTTTTGCTCATGTGGAGGATGGCACAGATGACATGAGGCCAGGGCAGTGAGAAAGAGCTCAGCGACACCTCTGGAAGACAGTGACTTGGAGCCTTTGGGCATTTTCTGAATGGAGCCCTCTCTCACCTTGGCCACTTCCCCTGCCAGTGGAAGGGCAGAGCTGGTGGAAAAGCCACGTGTGCCTTATTGACTCTGCCAGGTTCAGAGAGGCCTTCACGGTTGACTTGGCAAAGGAGAAAAGTTCTTTATTTCCCCCAGTCCCAGAGCCTGCCAAGCCCAGGGCTGAGCGGGCAGCTGTGTCCTCCCTCCTCCGACTCCCACCCCATTACCTGCAGAGTTCACTGGGAAGCCGTGTCCAGGCTGGGCCAAGCTGGGTTTGTGAGTGGCCTGTCTTAGGCTCACTGCAGGCTCCTCTTTCCTCACAGCGCAGACAGCCAGGCCTGCCCAGTGATACTCCCAAGCTGGTTTTTTTTTTTCTTCTTCTTCTTTCTTTCTTCCCCTAAGTTCAGAACCCAGTTATTTACCCAAAGAAAACAGGGAAGTGACAAGGTAACAGAGTACACATGTTGTGAAAATATGCAGGCTGGGGCTGAAGAAAAGAAAACATTCTTCCATAAGTAGCTGCCTTGTTAATTCATTTTTTTCCTCCAGATTAGAACCAGCCATTTC